TGAAGCGGTAGAGGAGAGCCATGGTCCCCAGATATGTTCAAATCGGTCTGGGCTACCCCTCTTATAAAGAGGTAGTGACTGATTGAGCAGTTTTTTCCAGCAACCCAGGGAGGGGGCGTGGGCCCGCCCCCATACTAAAAGGATGGCCTTCTTAACGTAGAACAAAAGTAGACAGATGAGGGTCTGGGACCTAGCATCCAACATCAGTTCACCAAAAAGACCCAATAACAGAAAGTGGGACTGGCTTGGGGAAACCCAAGCCAGTCTCCATAAAAGCGGTGATCTCAGACCAATACGAACGCATATGTGGACAAGACCAAAGGGAGTGGGAAAAAATCTGCCCTTTAACCGCAGCGCTTAAAACACCGCGGGGTGAGGCGGAGACCTAATGTATGTAGAAGGGATGGAGTAGACGTCAAGTCCTTTAACATTGAAAGAGGTGGATTTAATTGGTGACATTGTGAAAGCAGGCTGACAGTGGTTCGTGCCAACCTCCAACACAGAGAAAAGAGTAGGGAGGGGAAAGGGAAAACAAGAAGGGAAGAAAAAAAAGGAAAACTAGGAGATGGGAAGGGTAGAGAATAAAAGGGGGTGGGGGGAGGGAAGAGAAGGGGAGAAGGTAGAGTCTATTACATTAGTGAGCAGCAGTTCGTTGGGAGCAGACGGGTGTGCAGGTGTCGGGACTTTTTTTTAAATCCGATGCATCTGAATGTCCGGATTTATAGGAATTTGTACAAATGTCAGTTCAGAACCAAATGAATCGCACATGTCTAGCCACGATGAGCCTCTGAGCACCATATTGCTATAGATGGAAAGAAGTATTAGAACGCACTAAACAACAAAGGCCACATAACATTAGAACCATCAAATACTAAATCAGTCAATCAGTTAATCTTTAAATCAGACTTACCCATAAGCGCGGATTTTACATTCTCTAACCTTTAAATCTAGGCTTTCCAGAGGGTAGGCTACGATGCACATCCTGCACCAGGAACCATCCAAGGAAGATGTGATGACAGCTCTCGACACAGGGGCACACGCTGCAACCCCCATAACAGTTAAAAGCAACTGAAGTCTAAATCTAATCTGAGACAGGTCAGAACAGGAGCTAGTGACTTGTAGCATGCTAGCGCATGAGGCTCTGAAAATAGAAGGTCAAACATAAAAAAATACACATAATAACTGTCATGTAAGTTGGGGACAGAAACTGCTTCAACTTCGAGAAATTGGAAAAGTGATGTAGAGCAAAGGACTGGTCCCCTTTACAAACTAAAACGTGAAAGGGGAAAGCCCACCTATAGCTCGCACCAACATAGTGAATGAGGTCCAGCAGCGGTCTTAGAATTACTCTCATACACAAGGGGTGTTGTGATAAATCAGGAACATGTATTTGAGTTCCATCAAAGTCAAAGCAGCCCTTATGCCATGCTTGCTGTAGTATCTCCTCTTTAATCGAGTAAAAGTAGACTCGACAGAACACATCACTTGAAGCCAAGCAGGAAGCATTTCTTGGCAGCGGTAGTCAGTACACCCTATTAAGTTCTAGATCGACAGTAGGTTCCTTACCGAGGAGAAAGTTACAGATTGCCTGCACCATGGGTTTCAGCTCCAGGCCACCAGAGGCCTCCGGAATACCCCGAACGTGTAGGTTGTTTCTCCTGCTTCACATTTTATTTTGGCAAACTGCAGATACCTTCAATAGTTCTTCTGAAATATGCTCAAATGCTGAATAAATGTTTTTTATTTTTAAATTATAAAAAGAGAAAAAGCATGCCTTTTGTTTGAGATGATTCCATGTCATCCTGTGTCTTCATGCCATCCTGTGCCCCCATGTCATCCTGCGCCCCCATGTCATTCTACGCCCCCATGTCATCCTGTGTCTTCGCTGCCAGTGCCAGGTCCCATTAGCGGCGAACTTTCCGGGTGGAGAAGAGAAAACACACAGCGATCGCCGCTGCCACCCCTCCCCTTTGCTCCGGGCGGCTCCCGAGTGCCTCAACAGGTCGCCGTCGCCTCCAGGATGACGCCGCCGTTGCTCCGCCTCCTGCAGCCCTCGCTCCTTCACATGCGGCTTAGCGGCCAGGGGAACCAGGGGCGGGGCCACTTACGTCACTCACTGACGTAGTCAGCCCACACTGGTCTCGATCAGACGGCCGGAGCCGGACTTATGCCAGGTGGCCGACTGTCACTGTCAATTTTCCGCCCTGTTCCCTGGCGCCGTAAGACAAGTGCCCATGTTGCCTTGCGCTAGCGCCGGCCCTGGATGATACTCTAATTATCAGTAATTAATTTGTCCTTTTTTGTAGGGTGTAACATTCCAGGTAAAATATAAAACAGGCATTAAAGTAGCATGCTGTCAAGGGAGTTAGATGTTTGACAGTTGTATATATTTATATGGGCTAGTTTTCTTAGTCATGCAATTAATTTACTGCAAAAAGCAATTATGCTGCTTCACGTACTGGTGCTTCTCTGTTACTCTGTCACAGTCTGTACAGAAACATTGCACACCTATGTTTTCTGGATGGCTGGTTGCTCTGATGAGGATTTACATTTGCATATTAAAATCACATTTGAGAAAGGAAGCTTGAAATATAAGCTAGACCCAAATGTCACTAGAAAATTAGATACTTAGAAACTCGCTCCGTTAATGCTTTGCATATAAATCTGAATCTTTCCTGATACATTATGTACAGGTCAACATTTTCTTTTATAACGATAATCATTTTGGATAATGCTGCAAACAACACTCTTAGTTACATACTGTCAGAAATGAAGGAACCCTGCTAAAACTAGAGGAGAATGATGTGACATGCAAGATACAAATAGGAGATAATGTATTAGATAGAGAAATTCATGATAGGTAACATATTACAAAAAAACATATAAAAACTAAAGAAAAAAATATTCTTCACAAAAGGCACTGGAGTTAAATTATCTGACTGGTCATTATATACAAGATTTCACCGTTTTTAATTTCTCTGTTTTTTAAAACAAGGCCGCTTAGTTTTCACATACTAAACGTTCTATGCCCATCAATCTGCGGCACCCAGATGAAAACAATGATTGTGTATTTGTTTACCTCACACGGTCAGGAAAAAAATCACAATCAGCTTACTCAAAGCTCAACTTTGTTTCCCACAGAAACTAATTAGTTAACCATATTTATAATCTACACTAAGAACCTAAAAGGAAAACTCTGACTGGTTACTTAAGGCAATACAGACAGATCTTTCAGACATTTTGAAAGTGAGCAAAATTTGGCCGTCACATACCCCTTCAAAAACTTCCCACTTGAAATGTGAAGTTCCAGAGGACAGGCTTATGACAGCTGCATTCTGCTTCAGTATAACTGACAGTCACACAAGCATGAATTCAACTTTAACATAAACAAAAATGCTTGTCTAACAATTATTAAAAATTATTTTCACTACAGACTATAAATAATAAATCACATTTCACATTTACTAGGATCTAGCAGAATCTTTAATTTTTTCACACTATAAAACATATGTTTGTACAACAATTTCACCACTGCAACTAAAGTGGGAACAGCAGGACTATACAATAACCTTGACTAAAATGTTTTAACCAGTTCTCTATGTTAAGAGAATATTTTAATAATATTACAATATAATCTGCTCATCTTAACGCTGTGTTCCCTGTGAAAACCCTTCTCTGTGCAGCCTTGTTTGTAATACATCTTTATTTAAACAACTTTTTTGTATGCAATAAAATGATAAACATATACAACATTTAACCAGATATATGGAAGCACAGTTCCAATCTGTCTAAGTACCCATTCACATCTGTTGTTTTCCCTTTAGCACAATGTCACGAAAATGGGCTTACTAGGGATTCACCGATATCGATACTGGTATCGGTGCCGATACTGAGCATTTAGGTGAGTATGTGTACTCGCCAAATGCTCTGATACTTACCCCGATACCGGAACTACCAGTCAGAGGGAGATTCCGTCTGACTGGCAGTGCTACGAGGGAGCATGGAGCCGGCTTCCCGGCCAATCAGGAAGCTGGGCTGCAGGTCATGACCCGCCTCCCGGCTTTCTGATGGGCTAGGAAGCCGGCTTCACTTTGCCTAGTGACAATAAAAGGCAGCCTGGCTTCCTGATCAGTCAGGAAGCTGGGCGGCAGTTCGTGACCGCCACCTGGCTTCCTGACTGGCCGGGAAGCCGGGCCCACGCTACCTCGGGATGCTGATATCGGTACTCGGTATCAGCGAGTACGGATAAAACAATATCGGTACTTGATACCGAAAAACCTGTAAAAATTCCATAATTCCAGTGGGGCTTGTTTACATCTATATGCTGCAGCTTGGCATGTTTTTAAAGCAGAGGGCATTTCTGTGCAATTGTAGGATGAGTAGAGTAGAGTAGAGAATGCACATATCATGCGTTTATTGGCCCAAATCCACAGCACATCCTCTTTATGAACACCATGGCTACATATTTTGCATGTTATATACCTGTATATCTGTAGACTCTACACTGCATGAAAAGCTCACATTGTAAGGAAAATTACTTTGTTGTGTATTTGCCGTTAAAATAAGATTCCACAAAACATTATGGATAATGCATACCTCCCAATTGTCCCTCATTTGGAGCCCAATCCCTCTGTCACTCTTTCATCCTCAGTTGTCCATCTTTTTGGTACAGATATCTATGAACATGTACTATTTGGTAAAAATGTTAACCTGCACTAAAACATGTATCTGGTCTCCTAATTATCTAGGTTGTTATCTAGAAAAGCCAATAGAAAGGAAAAAGTAATGGTGAAAGAAAAATTCTGGGCTTAACCAATTATTTTTGGTATTCAAATTCTTCATTGTCCACATAAATGGGGATGTGGCACGAGTGTGTCTATTGCCTAAATACATTGTGCTACAAGGTGTTCCTCCTCATCTTAGAAAGTCGGGAGGTATGATCAGGTAGTAAGAATAATTTATATTTGTTAGAAAAGAACAATATGAATAATTTTTCTTACCTTGGCTTCTGATGTTGGCTCCAAGAAGCAAAGTCGATTCCCAAGTCCCTCAGCTGCCAGACAAAATTTCCTCTGTTCCTTATGGATGGTGGCAATGCACTGAAGGACAACTTCATCATCCTACAAAATCATAAAATATAAAGACAGACCATCATTTACAGGAGTCAGTTACTGAGACTGATGTAATCTGATATTGCTGAAAGACCAAGTTTTTGTATTCAAACTATTTGTAAACCACGTACTAAATACCCTTACAAAGAAGGTAAAGCTTTTTTTAAATTTTGGATAAAGTAGGAAAGGGTTAGGACTTCGGGATGTTATTTCTGCCTGTGTTCTTACTGTTGGAGGTTCACCTTCTCTATTTGTCCTGGTGACTACTGTCACTGGTACTGAATCTGTGAGAGAGAATATATTTAATGGGGACATTTGTTTCAGGGACAGCTGTCTAAGAAAGGGGTTTCGATAGCTCTAGGTTAACCCGTACTGGGCTGCTCTAACAGTTACACATTGATCTGTTTTGACAGAATGGGTGTTTGCCCCTTATGCCATGACCCTCTCACACCCTTTAAGTGCCTTAGATATATGCACTATTTGGTCTGACCTATGGCACCATGTATAAATGTTTTTGGATGTCAATACCAGTCCACTGATGTTTTACTCTCATCCTCTTGTCTCCCGCTGTCATGTTTTTTACATGTTGAGTTTTGATAACGGATTGTTTGAATTTTGTTAAAAAAGCTAATAAAAACTGATTCAACACTAAGAAAGGGGTTTCCTTCCTTTAGGTGGATCTCTTCTCACTTTGTGTTGAGTTTTGAGACAGGAAGAAAAGGAAAATTTCCCAACGGGACACAGACAGGAAAATCCCAAAAACTTACATTGGTTTTAACCACTACTTTCCCCATCCGAAACTAAACATTTTTAAATGTAGACATATTTAATCTGAATGGAGAGTTATGAGCTATAATCATGTGGTTTGCATTGAAGACTGGACATTGATATTGATATCACAATCACTGTCTTAGTTATATTAAGCAACATATAAGAGAAAGAAAGTAATAAAAAAAGGTTCTTCATGGAGCTATGAAGAAAGAGTAGTCAAACCAAAAGATCCTGTCTGGCTCACATGGATGATACTGCACCACAGAATAATACACAACTGTATTTTTGGTCAAGTATCAATTAACAGGCCTTGTCAGCATTTTATTTTTGTATAATGGCGTAGATATGGTACTCAATATTAAACTGTTAGAATGCAACCCACTGACAGGTCTGCAGTTCACAAAACCATATACTGTAACACAGATTCAATGGGATCAATTTACTAAAGACAAATAGGCTGTTCACTGTGCAAGGGAATTTGCACTTTGCGGGGAAAGTTTCACTTAGCTTAGTGAATGTGGTGAAATTTCACTTTGCAAATAATATCCAATCACGTGCAAGGAAAATGGGAAACAGTATTTTTGCTTGCCCATGATTGGATGATAGAAGTCAGCATGTGTTTGCACTCACTTCCTTTATCTCACTCTTTAAGCAGAGCCCATTTCTTCCTGCTAGATGTTTCCTAGAAATGAATGACGATTTCACTACAGGCACTGAGAGTATGCCAAATTATATCTATTGTTATCTTACTGCCACTTCCACTTGTAATTTGTAAGTATGGCTTTTGAGGTTTGGTATCTCTTTCACATAACAACAGGCATATTTGGACACTGAATCACATTAAAAAAATGTATCTGTCTTACAGCCACAATTTTGGCAACCCTTCTTTCCGTTGGTCTAACCAATTATTCTGACAATAAAGTCTATAATTTTACTTAAAATTGGTGAAGTGTTGTGCCATGCCTTCTTCCACCATGAAATCACTAGTTATTAATGGATCCGTAAGTTGAACATTTGTCCAAGCATTCCTCACTGACACTCAGATGTCAAAAATAGACACGCCAATATCTGCTGTCATGTGTTCGCTGAACACACAAGTTGCATAGTCAAACAGTAGCCTTTGTATCGTCCCATGGTGGATAATATAAATTCTGGACTCCACATATGATGCACTACCATAATTATGGCTAGGCCATATGTCAGAGGATGTCAGTCTTGCAGCCACACCTGATACAGCATGGAATGTAGACACAGCACTTTTATTTTTGCAGCCCATGTACACCACTAACTTTAGGTGCCTGAGAGCTGAAAAGGCCAGGAAATAAAGCTGACATCCAGTTTTGTGACAAATTTGGTAGATGTAAACCTGATCACTAAAACCTCATATAGTTTTTCATTTGTTAAAGTAATTTAAAAAATACATTTTATTATTTTAAATCTTGTCAGGAAGGTCCCTGTCCAAGTACTTTCTGTTATAGGGTAACAACATTGGGTCCCAGGTGCAACGCAGGCGTGGTGGCACATTTGTATGGTGCACGGTTGTCAGCATCAGGAAACCCACCCTGAGAAAAGAAATGATGCGCAGTGTTTGTTGGAGTGTATGCATGTAGACAGGAAGTGGCTGCAAAGAGGCTGCAGGAGAGCGAGAGTCCTGATATACAACAAAATATGAATAAATCTAATTACTGCGTTTAAAACACACAAAAAACATGGATATTGTTTATGATGCACAGTACTTTAGCACACTGTCAATTAGTTAGGGTTTATATATACTTAAAAGCAGGGGTGTCAAACTCAATTTAACTGCGGGCCGTATCAGCAACGGTTGCCCTCAAAGGCCCAGTTCTACCTGTAAGACTATATAAATGTATTTACACTTTATCATATTAAATAATTGCCTCTGCATTCAATTATTACTTGTTTTAGCAATAACTTAATAACTAGCTCTGAAAGTAGAAGTCTAGGTAAAATAATGGTAATTAGTGTAATATTGCAAACTCCCAGATGGCTCTGCAGATTCTATGGTGGGCTGTGTGGACTCTCGGGTGGGCTATGTGGGGTATATGGTGGGCTGTGTGGACTCTCAGGTGGCTGTGCAGGTTCTATGCTGGGCTGTGTGGACTCTCGGATGGGCTGTGTGGGCACTTAGGAGGGCCGTGTGGGATCTTAGGAGAGCTGTGCGGGGTCTATGCTGGGTTGTGCGCTCTCACCAGGGGTTCCAGGCGGTCTCAGCGGATGCAGGTGCTCTGGATCCACAGGAAGGAGGAGATTTACTGCCAGCACTGTAAACAGGCACCACGAGTCACAGGAAGGCTGACTGGACATTGCTCGGGACCTTGGCAGCCTTCCTGTGAAGCCAGATGCTTGTTTACAGTTCCTGTAGTTTACATAGTTACATAGTTAAGGTTGAATAAAGACACAAGTCCATCAAGTTCAACCTATGTGGCTGTGTGTGTGTGTATGTGTGTTTGAGTTATTAAGATTACCTGCTCCTTTGTATATCTTGCTCTCAGAAAAAAGTATCTAGATAGTTCTTGAATGATTCCATACTCTCAACTGAAACCACTGTCTGTGGAAGGGAGTTCCACAATTTTACAGCTCTCACAGTTAAGAATCCCCTTCACTGTTTAAGATTAAACTTTTCCCCTTTCAGTTTCAGATGGGGACCTCTTGTTTCTTGAGTGAACTGACAGTGAACAGTTTATTACTGATTATTCCATCACCATTAAACAATTTATACATTAATTAATATGATTTCCCCTTTCCGTCTCCTCTTTTCAAGAGTGAACAAGTTTATTGCATGCAGTCTTTCTTTATAGTTTAGGTCCTCTAACCCCATTATTAGCTTTGTTGCCCTTCTCTGGACTCTCCAGCTCAAGGTTTACATAGCCTTGACCCATTTACATTAATGGGTTGAGGGGATGTACTTGTACTTGGGCCTGAAAAAGTGGCATCGGGACATCCCTAGTATTAAGGAAAGAGTAAAAGCCTATCGATTGGAGTCTCCTTTATAAACAAATGTACAAATCAATGGCAGATCTAGTTTTAAAAATGTGTTCATTCCTAGTTGTGCTGTATCCTCTCAAATGCCACATTATCTTAAAAATGTTAAGACTTCTAAAGGAAACAAAGTTCCTCTTCTTGTTCATTAATAAAATAAGCAACAGACTACCCCTTTTGTATACCAGACACATAACAAAAATCCAGTTACTTCATTAGCTACAGAATGCAGTTACTTCATTAACTACACGTTGCCTCATTTTCGGTCCCTACTTAATACTGGAAAACCCCTGCCAGCATATAGACAGGTTCAAGGCATGCACATAACAGGGGGCAGCAAATGCAAAGAGTTGACCACAAAAACAGTTATGCAACATTTTTTTAAATCAGCAAAAATAGCTATATTGAGGTGGTGCCATGGGCACTTCACTTATGCAAACTCGATTATTTGATATGTTTTCATATTATTTCATTTATGACTTTGCTGCCTTAATTTAGCCGAACAAACTTCTCTTTTCAGATAATGGTTTCTAATCCTCTCTTATTAGCAATTATCTCTAGGGATGTCCCGGGACCGATGCTGGACATTTTCAAGAGTACTTGTACTCCTGAGAATGCCCCAATACTAAAGGCCTATACCTGCCCTTTACATTTTTTAAACGGATCGCCTGCTGAAGTCCCGCGCTTGTGGGGACCTCAGCAGCCTGCTGGGGACCTGGCGGTAGCGGTCCTTGGCAGTGCATGTCCGGCCACATATTTCCTTCCCGACGCAGGCACAGCCAAAAACAGACCCACACGGAACAAATAGCCCTGGAGATGGCAGAAGACCAGTGCCCAATGTTTCAGCCCAGGGCCCGATCATTCAGCTCAGTGCCCGTCCGCAGAGCCCCACATGCAGCCTGGCGACATCTGTACAGAGCCTGGTGAGATGCAAACGCAGCCCGGGTGAGATCTCTGTGCAGCCTGGTGAGACACAAACACAGCCCAGGTGAGATCTCTGTGCAGCCTGATGAGACGCAAACGCAGCCCATGTGACATCTGTACGCAGCCTAGTGAGACCCCTTTTTCAGCCCTGGGGAGATCTGTACACAGCCTGGTGAGGCGCAAATGCAGCCTTGGTGAGAAACTGCCCTAAAATCATTACTATGTATTGTTTTAGAAAAAATGTCACATGTTCCTTTAAGAAAAAGTATCAGTAATTGGTATCGGCAAGTACCTGAGGGAAAGTACTTGTACTT